AATGAGAATATGACAGATGGAAATGCATTTACGTAAGGAAAGCAGATACAAAAAGTCTACATCTTAGGGATGGTGTCTGTATCTAACAGGCCATCTTGATCCCCAGTTTACTCTATGCCTTCTTTAGTTTGCACTGTTGCTAAAGTGATGAAAACAACGGCTTGATTAGGATGCACACACGTTTGTACATGTGAGTATTTTGATGGGAACGCTAATGCAGTTTGTGGGTCTGTTCCACAAAGTGTCCATTGTGTTAGTATGGCCAGCGGTGAGCACAGGCAGGGGCTTTGGAGGTGGATGAATCAAAGTTTGATTCTGCTAGTTTATAAGTTATACCATCCTAGAGAGTTTACTTAGTCTCTCTGAACCTCAGTTTCTTCATCTGCAAGGTGAGGATCACAGTGGTACCACTTTTTCAGCTGCTGACAGGAGAACAGGCGGTACACATATAAAGAACATTATACCCGGGCATATTAGCTGATCAAAGAAAGCACTGTTTACATCTCGTTAAAATAAACATTTTATTTAAAAATATATGCTTTTTTTTTTAAAAAAAAAGGACACATGCCAACTTTGGTAGTTTAGCCATTGCTTCTTCGCTCGCCCAATGAATCACATTTCTTTCATATCATACAGAGCAAAGAAAACCAACATGAAAACACCGCCACACTGGAGCCAAGAAAACCAAGCTTGCTTCCTTGTTCTTTCCAGAACACTGCTTTGCTCCACTGAGGGTTGACTTTTCACCTCCTCGCAATTCTTTGCCCTTGGTCCTTTTGACAAGGTCATTGGAACTGAGCCCTGGCAGCAGGGGGTCTTGCTCCTTTGGAAAACTTTTAAAGCGCTTTCTGGATCTCTTTCGTACCTTAGCACACCTAAAGCATCTAGTGGGAGCATAGTCTCCAGAAGCTGAAGCTGGTAGTTGGAATGAACACCAGAACCAGCAGGGGTTGGCTTGTGGGAGTATGATTGATTCCCTAGGATCAGAAGGGAGCTCACTCGTGCTCGCTGAATCCAGCTAGTACAGTATCCCTGGCAGATAGCTGCAGAGTTCTTCCCGAATCCCTTCCTGCCTTGAAACCATTTCCTTACAGATTGTCTTCTCCTAGTGAGGGCTGCTAGACACAACTAATCAGTTCTCAGTAGTATGGGACCATCTTGTTTTAACATCCTAACTCTCCAGGTCTGTTGATGTCATCTGTCTAGGGAGTTTCAGAAGTTTCTGCCTCTAAACCTCTCTGCTGTTCTGTGTTATACTAACCAGGATTGGAGTTTCTTTCTAATTGACACCAAACTGTGCCCCAGTATCCCATGGACTTCTTCCTGAGGGAATGCAGCAAGGAGCTGGGGAGATGCAGCAGCAACAAGTGGCCACTGGGCTCTACGAAGCTTTCCTGCTGGAGGGAGGCTCACCATGGATACCCACCCTCCACCCCTTACTTCCAAAGGACTTCTCTTTCTGCTAAAACATCCCCCCAAACTTCTCCCAGGTTAAATGGTGAGAGGCAGGTTTCTAAGATACACTACTATTTTGTGACCCTGGTGGAAACGACAAGACTGTGTGCTGAGAGCTTTTCATGAAAACAATCTTCTGTTTCTGAAAAAAACCAAGACCCCTTCATGACTGCTAAGAGGACTCAAGTTCAAGGGCCTGGAAGAGTCTTGGCATTCTTGCTTAGAGGAGCTGTGGCTCCCCAGGCAATCAACATCTGTGCTTAACCAAACCTGAAAGTCCTTGTGCTCTGTGCGTGGCAGGCATCAGATGCCACTTCCCAGATGGTATGCATCACGTGGGAGCTGAAAACTCCCTGATTAGCTCTAAGAAAGCTGATTGATTGAACATAAAATAAATAACTTTTAGGAAGATCTGTTTTGAGAGCTTGGGGTAGGTTTTATTCTTTTTTGTCCCCAGTTAATGTTTTTGAAAGGCACCAGACTGCCAGTTCGTAGACCTGGACTTTCTGAATGGAGGCTGTGTTGATGTCCCTGTTTACAGGTAGAATCACTCCATTGCTCTGAAGAAGGGCTTCCTTCTTCCAAGTTTGAGTTCCACTGTTTATGACATCATAGCTGAACCAAGAGGTTCATGGGTCAGGAAGCTAGGCCCTGGTTTTCTCCTCTCTTCCCTTCCCTGTCCCTCCTTTCTTCCATCCCTTCCTTCCTTCTTTCCTTCCTTTCCTCCTTCCTTCCTTCTCTCCTTCCTCTCTGTCCCTTCTATCTCCTTCCCCTCCTTCTTTCTCCTTCTCCTCTCTTCCCTTTTCCTTCTCTTTCCTCCCTTTTCCTGCATCCTTTCTCCTGTCCCTGTTGTCTTGATAACACTGTTAGCAGCAGAGACATCATTACTGAGTCCTGCTTACTGGAAGATCTTGCTTGAGGGGAAATTGGACTCCTTTGGATCTAGAGGGATCTGCTGTCCTGTAGCCACAGTAGGAATGCCCAAGACTCTCCTTCCTAAGGGGATATTCCAGGCATCTTAAACATGTGGTCCCTTGAGGCTCCTAGGAACACTGCTAATCCCAAGGGTGGCCATCTCTGCATTAAAAGAACCTAAAGTTAAAATAAAAAACAAGACAAAAACAAAACCAATAGAAAACAGCTGAATAAGCTATACATGAGTATTTGATCCATCTTAATCAATCCTCTCCCAGTTGTCTCCAATCTCCTACCTGTGCTGTTAAAACAGGGTAAACACGGTCTGGGGAGATGGCGGAGCAGGCTGAGGCCAAGTATCCAGGGACCCACTCTAGCTGTATTGGCTTGCAGTAACAAACCAGAGCTGTCTTCCCTTTCGTCTACTGTGAAGTGCATGTATCAGTTTGAATAATATCTTTAAAAAATCTCCCACAGTCTAGATAAAAACAGAGCCAGCTAATTGCTCAGGCAGGAATTCCCAAAAAGAAAATTATTACCACTCAGATGAGGGGTTTGGAGGCAGGACACTGTGTGGGTTTGTTTTCCAAGGAAGCAAGGAAGAGATAACATTATGGTACAGTTGGAGCCTAGGAAAATGCACAGAGCAGCAAGCTTCATCCAGACTCAGATGAAACATCAGCATTGGAGGTCAAACCAATGTTTGGAATGTGGCAATAAAGGTTTCTCCCCATAGCTTCATCTTCATGCCAAGCTTTGCCTCTGGATTTGTGGTTCTGATGATGGACTTACAAACACAATGCAAAGTTCATCACGTAGACCCTTCCAAGCGCAATGCAGATCAAGGAATGTCAGAACAAAGTTGATGCTCCCTTTCGACTCTCTGCAAGAGAAGGCACTAGCCTCAGCAGCCCCTGACGATGAGGCTGCTCTGTCCTCTCACATCCGTATTCATTGCCAGGAGGAGCTTGTTCATGATAGCAAGTGGCTATGAGCATTGGGCTGGAGTCCTTAGTCATCTACAGTCATATATGTGGAGTCTGATTGGTTAATAAGCAACTCGTAGTAGCAAAGGCCACACATCATTCACAGCAGACTGAGGGTTCCAGGCACTCTGAATGTCACTTTTCAGATATGTGCACACATATGCATTTGTATACCTATGTGGACCTGTGTGTATACACATATTCCATACACACAGGTATAGAACTACATATGTGTGTGCACATCTGTGTGTTTCCTTCCCTACAGTAAGGTGGTGGCTTTCAGAGTAGCAGTCACCAAAAACACTCAGTGTTCAAACATTTTTTTTTACAAGTTGACAATGGAATGGTTTCTAACTCTTTGGTTTATCAAAAAGACAACTTCTAAAAAATTCACAACAATGTTGATTATTTTCTCTATAAGTGCACAGTGAATTTTTTTTACAAAAGAAGAAAACAGTGCCTTTGTGATTTAAATTAAAAACAAAACAAAACAGCAACAGCTATGTTCTATAGCATGCAACATTATAATTACTAGAACTGGCGCCACAGTGAGCCTCTGGGAGACTCCTGCAATCTGTGTTGTCTTCCTCTGTCCCCTGTGCCTGGACCAAACACGGGGGCAACAAGGAGCACTTGTCAAGACCACTGTCTTTCACCCTCCCTTTGTTTGCAATATGCAATTGCGCTTTCCTTCGGAAACCTGACTGAAATGCTGCCTACCATAGATGTTACCCTGATCTATCTCCACTCTACAATGATTTCCAATCCCCAGAGCAACACAAACCAAAGATTGTCCATAAATCAAACAAGAATAAAACAAGCGTTGTGACCAGTGGGCCACATCCCCAGTTTCTTCCTAAGGAAATTCTTGTAAATTCTGCTTGCAGCCAATCAATGTGCAAGTGAAAAACAAGTTTGGTAAGAGAGTTTGGACTTTTAATACTTTTTAAAAAGGCTTTAAAAGGAGTATGGCAACTTCTTACAGCTGAGAATCTTGCCTTTCCCTGTATGTGGGAGAAAGAGATAAATGGGTAGGTAGGTAGATAGATAGATAGATAAATAGATGATAGATTATAGGTAGATAGATAGATGGATAGATGATAGATAGATAGATAGATAGATAGATAGATAGATAGATAGATAGATAGATGAAGATTATCAACTCCAAAAGAACAGTTAAGGATCAATACCTTAAAAGAAAAGTAGTTAGAAGATGATGAATTGAGGCTTCCTCTGTCCATAATAAGAAAGAAAGAAGGAGGGAGGGAGAGAAGTTGGCCCTGCTCATTAGTTCTATAATAACAACAACCCATGGTGTTTCTTTCCTGGAATGTGAAATGACATTGTTCTCCAATTCTAACTTGCCCCAGTGTGACTTCCTGGGCCTCCAGTTGCCTTTCTGATGGTTTTACTTCTAGTCTTTGGAACTAGAGGTAGTTATATTTGAGAGCCACGGCATGAAGTTCTTTTGATTCAAGCTTCTCACCTTCTATACATTGCTGACGATCATAGAGATGGCAGAAACAATCGGATTACTGGTTAAAAAGTGACATGTTCTGAATGGATTCTCTGGGAAATGCTAGTTAGCTGTTGTCAGTGATCACCAGTCCAGTGGGACAATTTGGGGCTTGAGGGGGCACTGAGTTATTGTTGCTTTTTTTTTTGGAATGGATTGGTTTTGTCCCTCTCTTTTGCCTTACGGACTCTATCAGCTGAAATAGGACCTGCTCTTCTGACAGATAGATGTTGGACAAGTAGGAAGTTGCCTCCACCATGGCACGACTTCCAGAACCTCTGAGGCACTGGCTTCCCTGCCCTCTCTGGAGGCTGTATTTTCCTTCCATAGAATGTTTAGTAAATTCATAACAAAAGTCAACAGTGTGAGCTTATGCCTCAGTAATGCTTGAGACAAACTGTCGTGTGAACTTACGTCCCAGTAATGCCTGGGACAAACTGTGGGCTAGAAAAATTCTGGTATGAGAAAAGGCAGTGAAAGACAATTTTGGCATTTTTAATCTGAGAAAGCACAATTTGGAGTGCATTGCTGAAGTTTTCAACAGTTACTGAATGCTGGTAGGAATTACATCAGACGTATCCTAATGACTGCCTCCTATTTGTTCTGGTTGACTGTCACAAAAACCTCCATCGCTGTTTTTCCCCCCTCTCCCCATTTTTTTCCCTTTCATCTTTTGGATCACACAAGTGTTTCTGGTTGTGTGCTTTCCCCCATGGAATCTCTATCAAACTCACTTAGCCCTTGTTCCTCAAGGGTTTACCACTGCTGTAAGTGGAGGTCCATGGGGGAATTCAAATTGAGATCTGTGACATCCAGGAAATCGATGTTGAATATGCTGGGGCCACTGGTGGTGAGGTTGCTGAAGCCTGGCGTGGAGTTTGGTGGAGTAAGATCCAGCCATTCCATTGTTTCCCAGGGAGATTCTGTGAAACTCAGCTGCAGGCCACTGCTGTCCACGGATGAGGGTGATAACTGCGGATGTATCGGGGAGAGGGGCCCAGGCAAGAGCTCATGAGCGCTAAAGAGGTCTTCGGCAGCCTTCCCTGGGAAGCCATCCACGATTCCATCAAAAGGAGTCTCCTCGTTGCCGATCTTGAGGAGGGTGACGTCTCTCACTTTTCCCATGGGGCTGTGAGAATTCAGTAAGACTTCTAGGTGTTCATCTCTGTCGGTGGCATAGTGGTCAAAGGAGATCTGACCTCCCGAAGATGCCTGCTCAAAGGGAGCTGAGGACTTGGGGAGGATGGTGGTAGGGCTGCAGGAGGACCCAGGTATCTTCGGGACTTTTTGAAGACAAGAATGATCTTCCCTGGCATCAGCAGGCATTTCTGTTGGTAAAACACAGTGCAACTTGTTACAGCTCCTCAAACTGGCCAGGCCACATGATGAGTCTTTGGGATAAATGAGATGCTCTTTGGAAAGCCCAGAAGGTGGCCATGCTTTTCTGTTCAGCACTTAGCCCTTGGCTCACTTCTACCTCTGTTGTCTCTCCATTTCTTTTTAAAAGTGTCCCAAAATATCCCCACCTTGGAAATTCCACTCTTTTCTGCTGGCTACTTCGCCCCCTTCGCTACCACTAGCTGTATTGGAGGACACTGTATCTCTGTCATACTCTCTGTTGGGCAGCAAAGGAGGGATGAGTGTTGTCCCACAGCTATTTTTATGTTGATGCCTTCTTACCATTCCTCAGTAGTTTTTAGGGCAGCCCATTTCCCTAGTTGAGACCTGCAGATCACACCTCTCCGTCTTTTGGGAACTATCTCCTAGTTCGCAGCCATTTTGCCAGGTCGGTGTTTCTTATTTCAAAGACTATATATTCATAGAAGTCACACACTGTTCATGCTGGCCTCTCAGTTCCTTGTCCTTCCTATCTACTCCGGTGATGATGGCCACCCCACTCTGGCTGATACCTTGAGCCTTGTCCTTGCATAGCCCATCCTTCCAAGAACTCTATCTTAAGCAGGATCTCCCACTCTCTGTCCTTCTCCTTCCCCATCTCTAGCTCGTTTATGACGTTTCCCAAGTCAGTTATTCCTAAGACACTCTTAGGTACCTAATCTACTGGTGCACTATCGATCATTGTATGTCAGTAACTCCCACATCACTTCTTTCATTGTTTGGATCATTTTCTATGGCCCACTGTTACGGTCATTCCCACATTTTTGCCCTCCTCTCCCAGCTTAGCAAAATCCTCCACCCTGATAAGCCCCATGCAGTTTCTCTTAGCCTGCACCAAGTCACCTGGATGTGGAGTGAGAACAACAATTCCACTGAGCTGGCTGGGTTTACTTTCAGTGGATGGCATCAAACCTTCTCCTTGCACTTAATTCTGCCTTACGATCTTGCATTTCTCTATAAAACTCATCTCAATCATGAATACCCATGGCCATCCTTTCCTAGACTCTAAACTCCCTTCTGTGTTCTCACTACTCTGCCTCCTGGCCACATATTTCAGTAAGAAGAAGGAGCACCTGGTAGAGGAGTCATCTTCCTTCACAAAACTTCAATACAAACACACACCTGTGTTCTTCTCTTCGTTATGATAAGAAACACTGGTTTTCTTTGCTCATCGTCCATCTCCCTTACCAGACTGCGTTCTACAGAATGATCTGGTGGAGAGCTGAGTTTAGTATTATGCCTGACATTCTATCTCTGAGTCATTGACTGCCTCCTGTCAAACTTCAAGTGCTGTTGATGAAGAGTTCAGCCCCCATGTTCTTGTCTGACCTTCACACATTCTCCTTTAGACCTCTGGTTCCTTTGTGTGTTTTCAAATTCTAGGCAGACATTCTGTGATATTCCTTAAATAAATGAATGAATAGGTGGAGGGACACAGTGGTTACTTTTATTGCTAAGTGGAGTAACATTTAAGCACGAATGGGGCATCCAGTGAGTGATAGCTGGCTGAATTTCAGCCTGAGTAGTGAGTAAAGCTTTCAGTGTTTCCAGAGTTATTTCTTTCTTCTTGTAATCGAGAAGATAGGGACTAGACCTGCAGAAAAGTGGTGGAATAACAAACCACACTTCCAGAGACAGGGATGGGCTGAAAGGTGACTTGAAGAGCATCCCCAGGATAAAGGTGGTGAGAAACCATCCACTGGGGTTCTCGTCTCTGCTAACAAGGCACACCTGAAGCTCAAAGGAATGGACTCTACCAGCAGACCGCTCAGTGTACCTGACTTAGTGTGTCCCTGACCGTGGTCAAAAGAGGCCATGTCTTAGAGAGTCCACAGGCAGGACGGATCCTGATGGACAGTGGGCAAGGCAATCTTACCTCCGCTTTCAATGAGGACATCCAGGAGTTCATCCATCTGCTGACTCCGAGTCATTTGCTGTTTCAAATTAGCCAAAAAGAGAGCAGAGAGGTTAGGAGGTGGCCACGTCGGTACGGAGACAGTAGAAGAAGAGCTGTAGGGCTTTGGACTGGGCTTGCTTAAGGATTCCAAAAAGCATAGTAAAATAGAGCATAGCATAAAACTTACAAGCTTTGCCATTTTAGCTGTACATTTACTTTTTTCATCAGCGCTATGTACCCACATAACTATTTTGATATACAAAACTCAAACTCTATACGCAATAAGCAACACCTCCCAGTAACCTTTTGCCAGTGCCGATAGTCACTATTCTCCTTCCTGCCTCCATGAATTTGACTACTTTTGGTCTTGGACCTAATGATGCTGTGCAGTGTGACTCCTCCGCATTTAGTTTTTCATTTGCCTGCTTGATGGGCACTTGGACTATTTCTACTTCTGGTTTTAGTGAGTAATATTGTTAAGAGCTTAGTTAGACCTGCTAAAGGGCTTTGGTCCATTTTGATCAAAAATCTTAGTGTAAATTGTACTCAGATAATCCACTGAACTAGATAGTCCAACACAACACACAAGAATGAGGGAGATGGTAAATGTGAGCCTAGCCTCGCAAGGGAGCTTCCGTCCCAGAAGGAGGCATCTTAATACACATCCCTTTCTCACTTTGGAATCTACTTGTGTCCACGTGGCTCTGTTTGGCTGCTATGGACATGGCCCAGGATGTCGGCTTCAATTTTCTTGGTTCATCTTGCAGAACCTGTGAGTCTGCTCTTATCTCTGCTTATCTGAATGGTTAAGCACAGTCTAACTTCTCACGAAGTTTTCAGAAATAGGAAAGTCTATATCATGACATCTTTGGATAGCAAAGGAAACCTTACTGCCTTGGGTTTGATTTCAGGAGACTGGACAGCAGGCAGCACCTGATATTGATGCTCTGTTCTGGGTTGGGTACATAGATATAATTATTTTGATATCATAATTAAATTGAAACTATTTCAGTTGAACCACTCATCCTTCAGTATCCAAGGAGGCTAATCTCTAGGAGCACTCATCCTTGGGTTCCAAAATCTTCAGGTGCTCCAGTCTATTCTATAAAACGGGTAAGTATTTGCATAGAACCTACACCTGTCTCCCTGCCTTGCAAGTCATCTCTGGCATTTGCTGCCTAATACAGTTTAATGCTGTGAAAATATCTACTGTGTTGTGTGGCTTTGGGACTGGTGACAAGCAGAAGGGGTGTATGCTCCATAAAGATGGAGCTGTGACATGCCTAACACAGCATGTGAGACTTGACTCTTGACACACCCATGCAAATGCTGGAGAGGCAGAGGACCTGTGAAATGGCTAGAAGCTGGCTCACGACATGACAGACAATCCTTCCATCTGGATGGATTCAACATCACACAAGTTCGAGGGGTTTGTGTAGAGATTTTCAGGACTTGTTTCCCTAGTGTGTTCAAGTCATGGCTGCTAAAATGCACTCACAGAGGGCTGACTAAAATCACCCATGTTTTTCTTTTTCTTACTTTTTAAATTCTGAAGTGTTTTCAAAACATAAATATAAGTGTTGGAGTCCATGAATCTCCCTGTATCTATTACTTAGGTTCAACAGCCATCAATACTGTTTCAAGGTCATTGAGTTTTAAAGCTAAGAAATTAGGATAATGTAGTCTTGACAATTGCTCTCATATCTGAGCACCTACCATGTTACCAAACAATGAGGTAAGTACAAGATTATCAGTAATCCTTACGGAGTAAATACTTTTATTTTCTTGAAGAGAAGTTGAATGTGTTTCCAACCTCAGTGACAGTGGCAGGTGACGGAGTTGGCAGTAAGGCCAGGCCTTGGGAATGCCTGCTCAGCCTGCTCTCTCTGAATACTCAGATACTACAAATGTCCCTCAGTTTGCCAAAAGGTAATGCACAGAAAAGTGATAAACTGATATAATCATAGACCAAAATGCATTGCGCTTACACAGTCCACTGCACACCCTAGTTCAGCAACACAGCATGCTGTAGAGCACCTGGTGTCTCTTGTGTCTGGGCAGCTGATTAGGAACTGTGGCTCACCTTGGCTGCCCAGCCTGCAGAACACTGTACCACATGCTACCAGCTTGCAATAAAGCCCAAATTCAAAATGCAAGTGTATTGAATGCATGACATTTTATAATGCCATAAGGTAGAGAAGTCATCAACAGAGCTATCCTGACTTGGAGCCAACTGTACAACCCTGTCTTCAGGTCATATGGACACACTTTGTTCACTCTATTAGGTAGGGACTGAGCCCACTCAATATCAGAATCCACCAAACATACAATACTTAATACTGCAAAATTCTGCTTACTGAGTCCATTTATTGAGCCGTATAGAGCTAACCATGCGGTTACCTGCTTTACTGCATCTTCATAGGATGGGGGCTGGGTTATCTCGGAAACCACTGAACTTGACTTGGAAAAAGTTGGGGATGGAATTGAAAACTTTGGCCCCACCTTGTCAGAAGATTGCAAACCAGTCATCTGCAAGTGGATACAATCCAGAGAACAACATTCAGTACGTCTCAAGGGACAGTGCTTGTGTTCTAGAAACCACAGGCTACAGTTGAAAAAACTGCCAAGTAGTAATAATGAAAGCCCGAGATGAGGAGAAAGCAAATGGCACTAATAGGTTAACACCAGTTTGTGCCATCGTGGATTTGTTACTGGAACCTTAGCATGAAACTCACTGATTGATTTCTTGATTTCCACCCCTAAAGTAAGTGTACCCTCTTTTCTTTTTATTTTCTCTCTTCCTCCTCCTCCTCCTCCTCCTCCTCCTCCTCCTCCTCCTTCTCTCTCTCTCTCTCTCNCTCTCTCTCTCTCTCTCTCTCTCTCTCTCTCTCTCTCATCTCACAGTATAAGCCTGGATATCCTAGGAACTCACTATGTAGATCAAACTGGCCTTAGACCCTTACAGAGACACCTGCCTCTGCCTCCTGAGTGCTGGGATGAAAGGCGTGCGTGCCCATACCTATCAGCTGCATCATTTGCTACTGGACATGAGCTCAATCCAATACAACGAAGTTCTTTAACCCAGGTATTTTCAGAACAATTCATTCCAAACTGGGTCGTTTTCACACAGTTACTGTGAGTGTGGCCTTCTAAAGGTGCCTAGCCTGTGAGGGTTTCTTTCCCTTTACTGACATGAGGCCTGGGGCTCAGTTATGGCGCCAGTTGTTCTGTCACTCCCTTTGCTCTGGGAACTCCCCACATCCTGACTCTTTATATCCTCATTCCTTTTATCAGATTACATGCACCATCTCCTTTCTTCTCTACGGAGACTTGGCTCTGGACCCCAGTTTTCCATTTTTTTAAACATTAATCTGTTATGTACCCATCTGTCTCCAACACTATTTTCTGTCGTGCTCCCATTTCAATTCTACCCTCCCAGAAACTGGTCTGTTGCCAGCTTCTCTGGTACTGACCTTTGGATGGATAACAGGGCTTTTAGGACAAGGGTTGAGCCCAGCACTGTGACTGCTGTCTGCTTGGGTACCAGAGAAGGGCTGATGGAGGCTGGAAGACGGTGGGGAGAAGCTAGGAGGATGGCTTTCGTGTGCCCCTGAGGTCTGTGGAAAGACACATGTGGCAAATTAAAGAACAATCAACATATTTGAGAGTGGCTTTAGCTGACCCTTCTCACCCTATCTTCTGCCCCCAGGTTTCTGATATTTACAAAGCTTCGTGAATTCTCTTAGCAGATGACTATATTTAAAACCTGGTTTTGCATATGTCACCTGTGGATTACAAACTTCCCCTAGCTCTCAAATATCCATAGCACAAACTCCACACACCTCACCTGTGTAAGAGTTCAAGACTCTCTATGACTATAGGCATTACCTAGTTCTACGAACCTAAACTCTCCTGGAACCACGACTTAAACATTTTACCTACCTATCTTATTCACATGGAATATCTCTTTTCTATTTAGACTTTCCAAAACCTCTTCATCTTCATGGACAAAAGACAAGTCTACTGAACTCCTGAGCTAGCCTTCTCCTTTTTAGAGCTACCTGTGAAGTGCAAACTGGTCGGTCACAAAGCCTTCCAGGTCTCTACCAGCACTTTATGCCTACCCACCCATTTCGGGCTGTGTAATTTAATGCCATAGATCAGTCTTGTCTGATCTATGTGAAATTGCTACTGTCCTATAGTCTTTGTAAACAATAAATTATTGTCCCATCTTATTCCTCCCCAATAGCACTGATATCCTTAAAATGGAAAATTGTGGCTCAAGCCGTGGCCCAAGGGCTATTTCTACCTTTGCTGCCCACGGCACTGCGCATACAATAGATGTTTTGGAATGGTGCTGATTAGCTATCCCAGTATGTTCTTTCAGGAGTGGGTACCACTGGTGCTAATGTCCTGTTCAGGTAAGCTTGTGAAATTCACTCTCATTAACTCTCGTCATGCTACACACCCTCAGGATAGCAATATTTCATTGTGAACTTTAAAATCAACTAATGCTGGCATTCTAGGCAGTGAGTTCCATCTTCCAGGATCTCATTTTTCTCAGTGGTAAACAAAGCACTGAACTGGAGCCACAGGGGTGCAGTGACAGTGGATAAGATGGCTTCTGTTCATGTCTTTTAATACTTTAATTGGCAGCTACCCAATGTGGGCCATCGTCTTAGATTTTATAATCTTTGGACAATGTGATTTTCTTCTTCAATAGTCTTCTATACGCTTTCCTAATAATCTGTTTGTTTCATGGACACAAGGAAAGCCTTTGCTAATCACGTTGGGTGTAGTCTTTGAGCTGTCATTCCTATTCTTCTATAGCTCTTTCCTTGTTCTGTCCCAGACACACATTGGCCTTCTTTCTGATGCTTCGGCATTCTCCTTAGGTTTGAATCCCAGGGAATTTTCACCTGATGCTTCTTCCATCCCTTCATCCCAAATCTTAACAGTGTTCTCTCCTGTACCTGTTTCAAGGTTCCTCTGCAACATGCCTGACCCCTTTAGTGGAGATTGCAAACTTCCAGGCTTCTCATACAACCCAGCCTTTCTCTACTTTCTCTATAAGATGGACCATCTTTCTCCTCACTGCCCAGAACCTGTCTTCCCACAGGAGTAGAAGTTTTTCTCCTGCGGTAGAGTGTGGCACATGGTAGGTCTCAATAAATATTTGATGAGAATGTAAGAGAAGGGGAAGTGCTTTCTTACATACAGGCCATCTTTCTGTCTCCCCCACCCCACCCCATGCCCCAAAATGTGGTCTTAGGATGTAGCTTAAGATAGCCTCAAACTCACAGCAATCCTCTGCCTCAGCTTCCAGAGTGCTGGAATTCCAGGCAGGTACTACCATGCCCAACTTCCTTTTGACTCTCTTGATAAAACGATTTGGGCTATGACAAAGGTTGATATTAATTTTTGAGCATTTTTGAGAACATTAATCAGCAAATACTAGACCACGAGCTCAACGTTGCTTGGGGCCTGATTTTATAGTTAACTTTATATTGGAAATGTATGCTTTATTCCGAACTGTCTTTGGATGCTTATTTTCTACAAGGGCAAAGCTGAGGAGTTTGTCCCAGAAGCTATGATTTCCAGACATTTGCCTTCTAAACCTTTGTAGAGCAAGTTTGCCAAGCCACATTGCGAAGACTGGCTGTGAAGGCTCAAGGACGGTAGTCAGTGAGGTACTGCCTCGCTGCCAGGAAGCCTTTCCCAGCTCTCTAGTGGTGGAAGTCCCTCTTCTACCTCCTGAGACACCCTGTGGCAAGGTCAAGCTGCTTGCTTACCTGTGCGCACCCTTGGCTGTTGCTAGGTGAGGAGACCCCATGGCTCTCTCTCTGCGACCCAGAGGAGGCGGGCAGGAAGTAAGGGTTGTTGGGTGAGGGGGGCAGGCTGATGTGCTGGGGGCTCTTCAGGGTCCCCAGGGGCGAGTGCTGAGGGGAACACTGGGGGCTGAGAAACGTGGACGAGAGTACATGGGTTTGACCTGAGGACTCCACACAGTGGGGCAGCAGCTGAGCAGCCTCGCAGGCCGGAGGAGGACTGTCAGAGCTGTGGCCCTGTCCCTTCCCAGACACTTGTTGAGCTGCAAAGGGACAGCTAGAGACATCTTCCTGCTTGATGGTGGCGGCCAGGAAGGGCAGTGGCTTTTGGTCGCTGCAGCTGCTCTTCTGCTTCTGCAGCTGCATCCTCAGCTCCTCCACCTGCCGCTGCTCCTGCCGCAGCTTCCAGGTGAGCTGGTTGATCACCTTTTGCTTCTCCACCAGCATCTTGTCCTTCTCCGAGTCCAGCCCATCGGGCTCCGAGGGGCCGGAACCCCCATTCAGGCTGCTCAACAGGCTCTCGTCGGTGCAGGCTGGCACCGGGGACGCATGCAGGCCGAAACCAGGTGACGCATCAGTGAAGGTGTCTGGCAGGGACCCTGCGGCCGACAGGTCCGATGAAGCAGGGGAGATGGGTGGGCTGGAGCTCGTGCTGCCGAAGTGATAGAAGCCCGAAGGGGAGGACTGGTAACTGGGCAAGGCGTTGGGTGTAACAGGAAAGGTGACAGTCGTGATGTCCCCGAAGTTGGGCACAGGGTTGCCAGCACAGTCCTGGAAGGGTCGAAGCCTGTCCACCAGTGCTGTCTTGGTGCCTGACACCGGCAAGCCTCGTATTCGAAGCTGTTGTCTTAACTCGGACACCTAAAGCAACAAGGGCTCCATTAGAGCAGTGTCCGGGTGAGGTGTGCTTACAGTGCAATTGTATTTGCTATTTAGGGAGCTTTTAGGATATGGGGTATGCACATGAAACTTTACAGTATATATCCATATCTTTTTAAATACATCTTTGCAATCTTTCTCTTACTTCTGATTTAAACCAATTTTGTGTGATTTTAACAAATCTATTTTTTTAAAAAAGTTATCTCCTAATAAGTCCATCCTAAGGTGAAAAGAGCATGAATTTAAAAACACAGGGAATCTACCTAACTTTCGGAACAAGCCAGAGGAGTTACAAGGCCTGTGTGGAGCATCAGTCATTCCCATGACCACAGACCAGACTGGACCTAGAGGCCATTCCTGCTGCCCAACAGAAATGACTGACAGCAATCACTAATCTGAGAATCAAAAATTAATTCAAGTGTGATGCGTATGGAATGTATATCATTTCACACCACTACAATGAGAAAACAAACACACATGGAGCCCCTATAGTGAAGACCATATCTGCCCTGGTTTTCGTGGCCATAGTCATGCGAATGCTTTTCTTAATCCACCGCACAGCTCTCCAACCCCATTTTAGCCGGTTTCAGTTTTGTGGAAAACTGGTGCTGCCTGGGCTTGGACATAAGTCTAGCAGCCGCTCTGGCTTCTTCTTCTGTGTGCTCTTCCTCAAACCTAAACAGATACCAGCTCACAGAGGAGCTTGATGGGAAACACAGATCGTGGGTCCACCCTGGAGTTTCCCTTCCGAAGATCTGGGGTGGGGACCAGGTATTGCATTTATGATAATCTCAGGAGGATATTCATGCCACTGGCCTTGGGTTAGACTTTGAGAACAAGACTTTATGTGAGAACCATTTTTGGAGGGAGTAGAGAGTGGGGAAGACCGTGCATGTATATATGTGACTGTGTCTATACATAAATGTGCGTCTGTTCAAGAGATGGAAGCCAGGGCCTTGCACATGGTAGACCAGTTGTCTACTCTTGAGTTCCTCTCCACCTCCTCAGTTTGTCTTTTGTCCTTGTTTTGTCTGGCTGCCCCCTGACTCTTAATTCTCAGGCCCCATCTCCTCAGTGTTGGGATTGCAGACATACTTCACTATGCCCAGCTAAATGTTGGGTCTGGGTCTATTTTATTTTTCACAACTGACTAGATATCAGTTGTGTATTGAAGAAAGTACATGGTGATAAAAACTAGGCCCTTTCTGTTCCTAGCTTCTTGATCCTCTGTTCTTTCTCTTTGAAGTGGGATATTAATCCCTGCCTTTTTTATTTTTGCAAGGGTATAGATGGATTTATAAAAGCTCTTGGAATAGTGCTGGAAAATGGCTGTGCATTATAAAGCCATTATTATTATATTGATACACATGTAGCTAATTAATTCTCACATTCTCATGATGTTCACAAGTTGTAAACTATGAAATAAATCCAAGCCTAGGGAACTGGTTAAATAAAAATTACTGGAAATGATGGCGTACCAAAGATCCACTAAAATTAAAGTTTTGAATGTTTGTTGACACTAGATGATGGATGTTCGTTTATGATCTATTATTAACTGAAAGAAAGTTTGAGCTGATACTATTTTAAATAAATTAAATAACAATTCACACATTTAAATTGTTTGCTTATGAAATTATGTAGACAAACATCTGCTAAGATGTTAACTGGTACACTCCTCACTGCTTTCTCTAAATAGCCTGTCCCATTTCTAAAGAGACACATCACTTCTGTGAGTAATGCAGGAAGCATATTAAACACCTAAGGGCCAATGATTCTGTAAAACATAGGTAAAACTTTTCTGTAGGAACCGAGTTTTTGAGCAATAAAAGCAAATGAAGTCATCATAAAAATATCAACAACCAAAATTTTAACTTTCATAAATCAAAAAAAGCATACACAAAATGCAAATTTAAATAGTATTCCTTGGAAAGAAATTAGTGATAATATAAACAATTAAGTTGCCAAAATGAGTATGTGTGCTTATCATTATGAGAAAAGGGTAGACTGGAGAAGTGGTTCCACAGTTTAGAAGATTTGTTCTCTTGCAGAGAACCTAGGTTCAGTTCCCAGCACCCACATGGTAGTTCACAATCACATACAATTCCAGTTCCAGGGGATCTGATACCCTCTTCTGATCTCTGTATGCACCTAGTATGCACATGGTACACACACACAGATATATGAAAGACACTCATACATATGAAATAAATAAATAACTAAAAGATTGAGACCTAATATAAAAATAGGTAAGATATCTGACCCAGCTCTTTATAAACAAAACATAATTTTAAAATATCCCATAATCTATGTGTAGGATCATTAGCAATTTAAGGAAGTAGTGCAATTAAAATAAAAGGTTTATTTTTGATTCACCCAGTGACAGAGAAGTAGTAGTGTTTTGTATGAGCAAAGCAGCCATGAAATAAAGACCTTGACAAGTTGAAGGCCTTTACAGTCTTCCTGTTTAAGGTATGTCCCTGCAAGCAGCAGCCAAACAATGGCTGGCAGCTGGTGAGATGAGTACCCTCACTCCCTCTTGCATCCCTGAGCTGTGGGGTCTGCATCTTGATGTGCATTGGGATGCGCACTGGGGTGGAGCTGCTTCAGCACGTGGTTCTGCAGCAGACTATTCAGCGGAGAGAAGTCTGGGGACATCCTCCAAGAACTTTAAAAAATAACACTGTGGTGTTCTGTTTCTGGTTTTTGTTTGTTTTTTCAAGACAGGGTTTCTCTGTGTAGCCCTGGTTGTCCTAGAACTCACTTTATAGACCATGCTGGCCTCGAACTCATGTAGATCTGCCTGCCTCTGCCTCCCAAGTACTGGGACTAAAGGTGTGTGCCACCATGCCAGGCTAAAATAATATTAATGTATTTTAAACCAACAATTTAACATGTATGAAGTTATCCAAGAGAAATAATCAGAGAAGATAATAGATGTATGTCCAAAGGGCACTGAAATCCTATTCAGCAAAACATTTGGCAGCAAATTAAATTTCCAGGAGTGGAATGCTAACTAGGTGATGGGGTGATTTGCTGTTATTAAAAAATAAAACTTTTATTGAATATTAAATGTTATGGAAAACGTTCATTGTGTGCTAAGGAAAGCACGTCAGAAATTTATGGGCAGCATAATTATTTAAAAGTGGTTGTTGTCAAACAAAATGTGTTCACATGCATTTCAAGTTGGAAGAAGCATAACGTCGTGTTTTCTCTGGCTCCTGTCTGCTAAAATGCTATTTACTTTGCTGTACACGATCATGTTTCAACTGGAAAATGTCCCTTTACAGTCAAGTGCAAGCTACGAGCAAAAGCACCACGGCCGCCTTCGCTGGCATCCAGGATGCTGCTCTTGTCAAAGTCTGGCTGGACCGTTTTTTTTTTTTTTCTTTTGAATTTCCTGGTTTGAAAAAGTGCAAGATGGCAACTCATTATTGTTTTAATTTTGAGTTACTTAAAATTAATGAGTTCTGCACTTATTTTTAGAATCTGTTCTTGCACTGAATAATTTGGCTACATTATTAAATAACACAGATCACATTCTAAAATAAAATGAGTACTTGTTTAGTTCAATTTCCCTTAAGACTTTTAGATCATTTGACTGTGTGGGCTTGCGTGAGTCAAAGGCTTGCACAGCCCTCTTCTCTACGTTCAGTCCTTCTGATTCTTGGTATCTTTAAAGTCATTTATTATGAAAAATTCTAACATACGAAAAAGTAGCTAGAACAACACAAGGGACTCATATCCATCCAACAACTTCAGTAATATGCCAATTTTGCTTCCCTCTCTATTTCTCTAAAATTGTTTTGTGGCAAATTTTATAATTTAATTGGTGTGCAGCTCTGTATCTATCTCTGAAGGAAAAGTGCTCTTAGACACATAGAAACCATAGCCTTATATAGCTCACCTTAAAATGGACGGTTTCTTAATCTCCAACAAATATTTTCCCAATTTTCAGAATTTTTAGTTCCTTCTCTTCACGCTCACTCAAATTTAATTTATTAGAAACAATGTTTTAAAAAAGTCAATGTGCTATGAAAAATCACTAATAAATCCCACCGTGTGTGTGTGTGTGTGTGTGTGTGTGTGTGTGTGAGAGAGAGAGAGAGAGAGAGAGAGAGAGAGAGAGAGAGAGAGAGGTCAACCCCTCAGGTTTCCTTCCTTCCTTCCTTCCTTCCTTCCTTCCTTCCTTCCTTCCTTCCTTCCTTCCTTCCTTCCTTCCTTCCTTCTTTCATTTATTGAGACAAGGTCTGTCCTTGCCCTGGAATCGCACACTTGACTTAGACTTGCTGGCTAGCCAGCCCCAGGGATCCTCCTGTGCCTGCCTCCCTGGTGCTAGGGTTACAGGTGTGCGATCATGCCACACATAGGTGCTGGGGATCAAATTCTGATTCGCATGCTTGTACGGCCAGCTCTTTCTCACAGAGCCATCTGCCAACCTCATATCTCTGTAAGAAGAAGCTAAACTCCACTCAGTGCACTTTCCTTTACGCAGTGGAACGTCTGCTAAAGAAATGTCACATATACTGTCCTTCCCTCCTAATCATCTCGGGGTAGGACCGCCTGCATCAATCCTTCATCCCACCCTCTGCAAATGTGCAGTGGGAGCATCCTTTTCCCCTTCTCATCCCCTCCCATTTCTTTCCTTCCCACTGCTCCCCCTCTTTCTCTTCTCTCTCTCTCTCTCTCTCATGGTCTCATTTACTTTTTTGGTTTTAGCTTTTCCCACTTGGCCAAGGATTCTAAAGTGTATGCCCATCCCCTGCAACACAGCTGAGTTAAGTGAGGCTAATGTGTTTTTTTTTTTTTTATCATAGAAATGGGTTAGGTTTTCTCTTGGTTGGCTACTTAGCACTTCCAACCTGAATGAATTTATCTCTGTTTCTTCTGCTTCAACTCACTGAGAGTCTACCCTTGGTATAACTTTCCTAGGACTCGGGGAAACAGCTCCCCACACTCCGAGAGAGAGAGAGAGAGAGAGAGAGAGAGATCAAATCCAGCCCAGCTTCCTCCCTTCACCCCTTCCTTTCTATTCTCATCTTTCCCAGTAAGCAAAAGCTTGTGATCGGTCACTTAAATTGGAGTCCCATTTCATCACTTGCAAACTGATTAACTTACCTGTTATTGAACCCCTTTAAGACTTTTTAAGTTTCAAAAACTGGGCTGACAAGACTGACCTGACCATATGGAAATCTACATTGAATAGCTAGAGAAAGGTAGCTATCGTCACTACCACCACCACCATGTCCTTGACCTGTCCTAATTACTGTGACTGTCACCAACCAATGGTTCTGAGCTTTGATGCCCAAAGGGAACCACCTTTAGGAACTCTCCTCTGCCTCATGCCACCGGCACTTCTAGACTGGTTTCTCTGCATCTCTCCAGTCCTGCATGAGCCAGGACTTTTATACTTTAATTACTTAGCTGCAAATAATAGCTTTATTAAGGTGAAGTAAACATGAAGTTTGTCATTTGGCCATTACCGAGTACATAGTTTAGCTTCAGCAAGCACATCCACACTGCCATGCATCCCCAGAACATTTTCATTATTCCAGCTTCAAACAATGTCCACATTAAACAGTCACTCCCCATGGTCTCTCTGGGATGGTCCTGGTAACTTCTATTCTGCTTTCTATCTCTATGAATTTGCCTATTCAAGTGTGAGGTAAGACAGCTCATTGGGTATCTGAACCATTGCACCTGGCTTGTTTCACTTAGCGTAACGTTTTTAGGTAAGAGGGCATCTGTTATCTGTGGATTTTTGAGGAATGGAGGGGAGTGATTGCATGGCTCCAGAGAGTATTATTATTAGTTTAATGTCTCTGTCTGGGTGTGTGGATTCCAGACAGAAACAAGCCTCTTTGACCTGTAGAAGAAAATAAAGGAACTTTGATATCAGCATATAGCATGTATCTTATCGTCTCTTGGCCGCCATGAGATATTCTTCAATTTGTATTGACTGCTATCCCACCCCATCTTGACCATTTAACAAGCTGTCACTTCAGGGCAAATGTTCCCTGTTGAGGGTTGAGGACCCCCAGACCCTGAATTTCCCATAAACAACTTGCTTTTCCTATGCTTGCAGCTTCTCTAAGCAAAACAACTTGTTTTCCTGTGTTTGCAGCTGCTCTGAGCACGAGACCCTCAGGAGTTCTTGATGGCAGGGGAGTGGTTTCTCGTGGGTTTGGCCAAGGTGTGGCTATCAGTTAAGGATCTCTATATAAGCTGCCCTGGAACACAATAAAGGGGGCATTCTTGTTTCAAGGATGACCCGTGTCTCTGTCTCTCTCTGTCTGTGTGTGTGTCAATCTCCAGGCCCTTGCCGGGCTGGCAAACTGTCCCATAGTGCAGGTGGTACACTACAGGTGTAGTACTGTAGTACACATAGTACAGGCGCGACAGGACAGCGGTACACACAGTAGCACGGATGCTACAAGTGGAGGCCCCAGTGAGTACCATAGTACATGTGGTTCAGGTGCTACGGGACCATAGTACATATAGTAGTATGGACTTTACAGTTCCCAGATTTGGTAACATAAAGGAATAGAGCATTGTTTTAAATTATATTACTGATAGTAGGTTACCAACACTGTTTCTTATTCAGTGAGGATAAAGATCCTTACTTAACAGTATCTGTATTGGATAAAAAAAAAAAAACTACTGAATTTCCATTGGTATAGTCAGCATTTTCTAATGGAAAGACTGCTTTAAAAATCAAAATCATTAGGAAGAAATATAGTCACATTAGCTTCGTGGATTGTCCTTGCCTACATGAAGAGTAATTCCCATGGTTTCTATTTTTCCTATTTCACCAGAGATTGCCAAAGGTTCATTGTGAAACTGATATTGCTTTAAAATATCCTGGAAGCTTTATAAGCTATATGTCTCTACTCTATGCTAAGCTATGCCCTGGCAGACTTGTAGTAACTTATTTATGCTAACGAGAAGTCTAAGGTGCAGAAAAGAGCAGATTTGAGCTTGAACAGCCTGGGGAGGCTGAGTCAGGACCTGTAGGTTTGGGTTTGACCTCTGTACCATAAATCCTGCAACACCCTTGCGTTTATCCCACATTCTCTTCCTCTTCTACTTTTTTTCTCAAGATGTCAGGAGGAAAAGATGCTAGTGACAATATATCTCTGTCTCTGTGGGTTTTTTTTTTTTTTTAAGAAAAGAAGGAAAAAAATTAGATCAAATTGCATACCTTGAGATCATCCAGGTTTGCTGGAAGGGGGCCTGGTTTTAGAGAAGAAACACCAGTTTGTCCAGACAGACTGCTTTTGACAGGGGACAGAGGAGTATTACTCAATGGTGTTGAGGAGGAATTCGGATTTCTGACCATCTGTTCATTAGGTTCTCTGAAAAACAAAAAGTCACTTATAATACAATCCGACCTGTGTGTGGGAGCTTGGGTCAAGTCACAGAGTAATTGCTGACAGCAGCCAGGCAGGTAACAAATCAGCGGACAAGGATGGGAACTGCCAAAAATCTCCCAGCTTCGTTTCGAGGACACAGAACTGAGCGATGAGGACTGTGGCATAGCGGAGTCCACCCTTGACCTCACCGAGATGCTCTTCTAGAGGCCTGAGCATGTCATAGGAATCTTGATCATGCTCAACTTTGGATATATTTGAAACTGTGACCCGAGGGTGGCCAAAGACAGGTGAAACAATCATCACACTAACTGCATGCATGAGAATGATGTCCACCTGGAATATGAATAGAGCCTAGCAATGCAGGTGCATGGCCTGGGCTCAATCTCCAAAGCTGTCCCTTTGCTCTTTAGCAGTGAACTTGAGCCTGTGTTCCCAGACATTCCACAGCTTAGTCTGGACATGCTAGGAGTTTTCCTCTTCTTCAAAGAACCTTGACTTATTTGTTTCCCTCCAGCCCCATGGTCCCGCAAATGTGTGCATGGTTTCTAAAGGGAGTCACACTCCAAACACATCAGACAAGGACGTGATGCAATACAGGATACACTGGTCCCAAAGAGCCGACCCTGCAGGTCTCACACAGAGAAGCCATTTTCCACCTCTGCCCCAGGTGGCTGTACTCACTTGAGGTGTGTTTGGTGTATCCCAGGGTAGTTGAACCGCTGCTGTTGCTGCTGCTGTTGCTGCTGCTGCTGCTGCTGCTGGCTGAGGATCTGCAGCTGCAGGAAGAGCTGCTGTTGCTGCAGCAGCCGGGCATAGGCAGAATCCATGGGTGGTGGGGACTTCTCTGCCTTCTGGTCTGGGGGGATGTACTGGTGGTATTTAAGCTTCTTCACCTTCGGTTTGGGGTCCTTGGGCTTTTTGTGGCGGTTCTTACTATCACTCAAAGACTTGGACTGTAAAGAAAAGGGAGACATGGCCTGGGTTTTAGGTGATGATGGTGAGGAGTGATTTTCTCCAATCCTAGAAATACAGCAAAGGCAGGGTGCATAGTTCTCAGTGTAGCAGCTGAAGAGATCTGCCATGAAATCCTCACCCTCACTGCACATGGGCACCTGACGTCATACAAGGGGCTCTTGGAGCTTTCCTTCAGCCCAATGGAAGCCTGAACTCCAATGGCTTATGTAAAACCTACAGATAGCTTAGCACTCTGATTTGGGGGCCACTCATGACAGTGTCTGCAAATACCTCAAGTTAAACACACTGTAAGCTGACTTGTTCCATGGGTTCCGATGAAGCTAACATCGTCTCTACAAATCCAGAACGTGGTTCTCAAACCTAAACAGACCTTGCCTTTTCCCCCTCACATTTATCAAATGCCCATGCACTGGCCTGAAGCCACACCCTCTGAAATATAGACTTTTCAGTATGGGGAGTCACGCTCTACATTATGATCTGCACACTGTGAGGGGAGTTAAGGGCACAACTTTGGGGATTGAGAGAAATGTGTGGATATGACACAATTACGTAAGTTTAATATATCTAAATCTCATCATGTATAAGATGAAGAAAATGGCTGGACAGTGGTGGCGCATGCCTTTAATCCTAACACTTAGGAGGCAGAGAGGCAGGTGGATTGCTGTGAGTTCAAGGCGAGCCTGGACTATAAGAGCTAGTTCTAGGACAGGCTCCAAAACTACAGAAAAACCCTGTCTTGAAAAACAAAGAAACAAAACAAAAAAAGAAAATGTTACTTAATTTGCATCTTAGTGTTCAATATAAGGACCATAAAAAGGTTATCATAGGAGCCGGCTTAGTAGGCGGGTAAAGGCGCTTGCTGCCAAGCCTTGAGTTTCATTCCAAGAATCCAGAATGGTGGAAGAACTGACTTCCACTAGTTGTCTTCTGACCTCCACATATAGGTTGTGGTATGCTATGTGTGCATATATTGTGGTATACACCCATCTATACCACACACACACACACACACACACACACACACACTACTAGCTGTGGGATGGTTTTTGTTGTTCATAAAAGTAACAAGTGTCCTTTTGATGGATTATTCTATAGATACCCTTCTCTGGAAATCAAAAACCCTTCCTATATTAGGACGCAATAAGTCATTGAGTAGAATAAAAGTTCAAACCTGTTTTTATTACAGGTGGTTGAAAGGAAAAGAGTTCATGGGTGTCAAATTGGAAAGAAAGTGTAGTACCACTATTGTACAGAAGAGGGAGCTCCTGAATAGCTGGCGGACAGTCTCCGGCAGCAGGCTCCAGATCAACCGCAAGAAGCGCATTTGAGTGTGACCTCCAAGTAGCCTACAGAGTTCTTTACTCTCTGACTCAGACATCCTCTCGCTGCAGACACTTTTGTCTTGTCTTTTTTCTTTTTTTGAGTCTTCCTCTTGGAGACTAATGAATAAAGGTTGAAAGTATTTCTGAGTCTGGTGGCTTTATATTTCCCTACTCCAGAATCGATTGGCATCCCGGTAAATTAATCATATTTCTGCACCGGGTGAGTTTCTGCAGGGTCTGGTGACCGGCTCCCTCCAGCTCAGCTGCTGTTCAAGCCTCATCCCCTCAGACTTGCTTTGACAGGGGGTATGTTGTCTTGTTGCTGACGCAAGGGACCTGGAGATGCTTTTGTTCCCCTATATTACCTTAGCATGGGTGCAGGAACATTCCAGAAACTAGTGTGTGGCAAACATTACTGACCTAACACACCTGTCTGGTTTCATTCTTTTACAATCACAGTGGATACTCGAGCTCTGTCCAGTTGCGTGTTTGTTTTTCTCTTTGCACCTCCCAGGACACAGAAGGCACCACATGCGTTCTCCTAAAGGGAAATCAGTGGTGGATCCACTGTGGTGTTCCAGTGCCAGGCTAGGGTTCGTCAGCGGCTAGACATGGCAAGACTTCCTAATGTAGCACTGATTCAAACACACACACGCACATAGACACACACACGTGCACATGTGCGCGTGCACACACACACACACACACACACACACACACACACCTTTACTAAATACCGTGCACCCCAGCAGAGCACACCAATGTGCCAGTGATCCTCTGAAAGGTGACACTCAGTCCCATGGAGCCACAGGACACAGTTCCACATCCCAGCTCCTGGCTCTCTTCTCTGGCTAGGCATACACATTTCCTCCCCTTCAGTTTGTTGTAACCCGCAACCACCCTTCTGTCTGACTCCAGCTCGCCGTCAAAGCTGGCTCCAACTTGGGAAGCTTTGCGTGCTCTCCTCACTCAGCATGTTGAGGGTACTGGCCAGTGGTCACATTGCCTACTGAGGGAATGAGGAAGAATGAAATCCAACCTCCTTTCCCCTGCCTAGACTACCGACTGCCTGGGCAGAGGATCCTCTTTAATTACTGTGCTAAAAAGCAAGGGACATTTTATACATTCACAGTTTTGTGTGAGCATCACCTCTATCCAATTCTATTAAATTTCCATGGCTCCCAAATGAATGTGTTACCACTAAACAATCACTCTACGCTCTCCCCAACTCCCACAGCTCCAATCGCCATCTTGTTAAATGTGATTATTTTGGACATTGTATACATGAGACATAGATGAATGTATTTTGATTCAAATAGAACTTCTTTTGCTTGACATAAGGTTTTCAGCAGTCATTCTGTGGCAGGTGCCAGATAGCATCCTTTTTTTTATGACTGAATAGTATTCAGTGGGATAGCTATATCATGACTTTATTCACCCATCAGTTGATGGGCATTTGGGTTGGTTCAAATGTGTAAAAATGGCTAATGGTATTGCTTTCAAGATCCAAGGACTTATATTTAGTTCTTTCAAGTGTATGCCTAGGAGTGAAATTTCTGGAGCACATGATAAATTTATGTTTAATTCACAGAGGAAATGACACCCCCCAGAAGTTTTAGCATTTTTTTGTTCAGGCCTGTAGGGTGTGGGGCTTCCAGCGTTGCTACATCTTCATCAATATTTGTCATTTCCACACTGTTTTGATGGATGCTACCCTCGTGCACATGGAAAGGCATTTCACTGGGTTTCACTTTGCACCTCCAGAAAGACTAACAGCAGTGAGAACACTTTCAGGTGCTTCCTGAAAACTTGTGTGTCTCTAGAGAGGTACCTGCCAGTCCCTTCTCTGCATGGCTTTCATTCTTACACGGGACACTGCTGTGGCTGATGATGGCCTGAAGACCCAGCTAGACTAGATGAAGGGGCAATGTTTCTGCTGGTTTGTGATACAGCCTCTTGTGGATTACCAGGTCCCTTCCTTTTAGGATTGTCATAATTTCCAAGAGGGATTTGTGAAGTCCTTCTCCAGCCCAAAGAGAATCATACCGAGTCAATTGGGTTGAGTTCTACCCGCGGTCAGCTGCTTCTTTCTATCCTTCTAGATGAGTCTATACCAGTTGTTCTCAACCTTTCTACTGTTGTGACCACTCAATACATTTCCCCATGTTGTGGTGATCTTAAGATTATTTTTGCTTCTACTTCCTGTGATTTTACTACTGTAATGAATCATAATGTAAATATTTGATATGCAAGATGGTCTTCGGCAACCCCTGTGAAAGGGTCGTTTGCCCCCCACAGGGATCACAGGCCACAGGTTGAGAACCTCTGGTCTAGTAGAACCTAGAAGTGATGCATCTTCAACCACTGGTGTTTAGGTGTTGACCATTTAGAAGGGCTGGGCTGGCATCTATAGACCAGCAGTCCTG